TTTCATATTATAGATTTAAAAAATTTCCTAAACATTAACAAAACATCCAATATTATAAGAAATCTACTAGCTACTGATTTAAATACCATTAGTTTTTCAATTTAGTTTATTGTAGAGATTTATTTAGACATTTACGTTAAATAGTGATCAATTTGCCCCCGGATTACGGTACCAAGAGATTTCAGAGCAATATTCCAAGTGAATTCTAATTAAAATATGGGCAGAAATTGTTAGGCATCATACCAAGTGCTGTATCGCAGCATCGACACATTTTGTAGGTTCTGTATTATGACAGTTAATCAAATTGCGAGAATTATCAAGAATGCAAAAATAAATGAAAAGTGAATTTCAAGAATTTTCTGGAAGGAATTCCTTAAGTGTTCTGCAAACAATTCCGAGAAAACTTCTAGGGAATACTGGATAGAATCATAAGATTATTCAGGGAATTCCTGAAAGTAAAAGTGACTCTGAAGGCTTATTTGGGATCGGTCCTAAGCAAATCCTTGGAAAATTTGCAAACATAAGAAATTCAAGATCCAGGATTAACAAAAAATCATGAGATTCTGTGATTTCGATTGAGAACAAATTTCAAGATCCTGGTCTTATAGACTATTTAAGATTATCATGCTAGAAATTTCAGATAAGTGTAACAGTAAATTATGTGAGAAAAATCCGAACAATATCCACGAAACAGAGAAATTTCAAAACTTTGTGGCATGTACAGTTTTCATGGTTCTAAAATTATCAAAGGTATTTAAAATATTACACTCTGGGACATTGTTAATATATGTTTTAGAAACCAGACTTAATTTTTGCTATCTTAAACTATAGGTAATCAGATAAATATTGTAGATATCGGACATATAATGTATATTAACGGATTCAATTAATAAAGGTACAAAAATATTGTTTCCAATCAATTTCCTGCTTATTTCCTGGGTGTTTTCGATTTCTGGATTTTTGGGTTTTCCTGGTTCAGTTGTCACCCTGGATAATGGACAGATTAAGACTTGTTACCTGAATCTGAACTCAGGAAGTCAGTAGATGATCCTATAGTAGATCTGAATAATCCATGTTATATGCATGACAGCTTCATATGCATTATTTTACCTCAATTTCAGAATCTGTTTCTGATTTTAATGATTATTACGGATGTTGGGTCAAACGCTATTAGGCTTTTTGTTTCCATGTTTTTCGTCGATCTTGTTTTCCGTGCTGAGCACCAATGCACACCTGGACCCTACCTATCAACCCATCAACTCATGAACCGGGGACCAACGGCTTTACTTCCCTTGCGAAGGAAGGCGTGATCAGAGATGTTATGCCTCAGAACATCCCGGCGGCGCCGACTGGGATTGAACCCAGAACTGCTGGGGTGAGAAGTAATCACGCTTACCACTACACCACCGGTGCTGCTCCACGCTATTAGGCTTGGAAAATGACAGTTTGAACTAAGAAATTGTTTTGAGAATTACTTGGAATAATGAGATTTAGAAAGAAAAGTTAAAGAACAAATATTAATTTAAATATTGAATAGTCTCTTGTCAAGATCTCGGATATACAGTGTTGTTCGATAATATAGCAGCGCATTGCAGCAATTTACAGTTTACACCAATCAATTTACGTACATCAATATATCAATTTACAATTTGAAATTACAGGTATATTTTCGAAAACTGTCATTCAACAAAGATATTAGTGCCCTCAGTAAAACTTAATTAATGTACTATTAAATCACCGAACCGTTTACCGAATTGTGGTCAAAAATTCGTTACAAATTAATATATTCTCTTAGTTCTATCAGGGCAATAATAATATCAAAACTTCAGAACGGCTCAGAGAACCTTTTTAGAAGTTCAATTTAAAAGTTGCATTTCACAGTTGATAGTGAATTGTTTTGAATGAAAGTTATAATTCGCTTTATTGTGAAGAGGTCCAAGGTACACAATATGTTCATGAAATATGGTATTGCTGTAATAATTGTAGAATGGGAAAACTGTTCAATTTTAATACTCCCCGCTATTAGTATTGAACCATATAAAGCTCGTAAAGTTTGTATCTCGTTTCAACAAATCTAGGTTTATGGCACAAGTAATCCATTGCTTCTTGCACTGTAAATAATACTCATATACAAAAAAAAACAATACAATTATGAATAAATTAAACTAGCACAAATTAGCAGCACAAGCCAATGTTTGTATGTATAAGCTGTCCTGTATCAAAAAATAGAAGGGATAGCGAAATATTCTTCACGCTTGTCACCGTCGCCGCTGAAAGTTACACATGGCGTTACGCCACCACCGGCAAAAATCTCGTCGGCACACAAATCTAATTGCGGCCATGCCAGTGCTTTATCCATACTTATTAGATATAGGGAATAGTGACCAAGATCATAATGCAGATCATACGAAACCCGTCATCAGCAGGAGTGCACAGTTTCTTCCGTGGCAAGTTTAAGCGCCCTAAAATGTTTGATGAAGACCCAACCATCGCATGGAGGAAAGTATACACACTATTTGAAAACCAACAAAATTTGATTAGGGTCCACCCAGATTGGTCCGAACTGAACCTACTCAAAAATGGGTAAACTATGTTGAGGGTGACAAGTTTAAAAATGGACAACATCGACCTGAATCCAATCGATTATGTTAATTTTTCAACTTTGCTCACGCAACTTAGTTTACCCATTTTTGGGAAGGTTCAGTTTTGACCAATCTGAGAGGATCCTACTCAAATTGAGTAATTTTTAAATAAAGGGTGATACGGTCAAAATTTGGTCAATATCAACTTGACGTATTTCTTTCAATTTTGCATTTAAAAAACCTAAACACCCCTCATTTTGAAGGTGTGTGTGTGTGTAGAATGTTGCTCCTATTTTGATTTTGGAATTCACTCTTCAGTTGTCAAAATGCCGTCCAAGCAAGAAGAGCAGCGTATCAAAATTTTGCTCGCGCATCGCGAAAATCCGAGCTACTCGCACGCAAAGTTGGCAAAATCGCTAAAAGTTGCCAAATCAACCGTTACAAATGTAATTAAAGTGTTTGGGGAACGTTTGTCGACAGCCAGGAAGTCTGGATCGGGGGGAAATCGAAAACCGGAAGCCGCTGAGACGACAAAGAGAGTTGCCGGTAGTTTCAAGCGAAACCCTAACCTCTCTCTCCGAGATGCCGCAAATAAGCTGGGTGTATCGTCTACAACCGTGCATCGAGCCAAAAAACGAGCCGGACTATCGACTTACAAGAAGGTAGTGACTCCAAATCGCGATGATAAACAAAATACGACGGCCAAAGCGCGATCCCGGAGGCTGTACACGACGATGCTGACGAAGTTTGACTGCGTGGTAATGGACGACGAAACCTACGTCAAAGCCGACTACAAGCAGCTTCCGGGACAGGAGTTTTATACGGCAAAAGGAAGGGGAAAGGTAGCAGATGTTTTCAAGCACATGAAACTGTCAAAGTTCGCAAAGAAATATCTGGTTTGGCAAGCCATCTGTACCTGTGGCTTGAAAAGCAGCATTTTCATAGCTTCCGGGACTGTCAACCAAGAAATTTACGTGAAAGAGTGTTTGAATAAACGTCTGCTGCCTTTCCTGAAGAAACACGGTTGTTCCGTACTGTTTTGGCCGGATTTGGCATCTTGCCATTACGGTAAAATGGCCATGGAGTGGTACGCCGCCAACAACGTGCAGGTGGTTCCCAAGGACAAGAACCCTCCCAACACGCCAGAGCTCCGCCCAATTGAGAAATACTGGGCTATTGTCAAGCGGAACCTAAAGAAGACCAAAAAAAATTGCTAAGGGCGAGCAGCAGTTCAAGTCAAACTGGCTTTCTGCGGCGAAGAAGGTGGACAAGGTGGCTGTACAAAATCTGATGGCAGGGGTCAAGCGTAAGGCCCGGCAATTCGGATTTGGAAAAGCGGAACCCTAACTGAATATATATACATACTAATTGAACTTGAAAAAGAAATTTAATTTGATTTTTTAAATAAACGATTTCACCGATTTACACGCGTTTTCCCTTGACCAAATTTTGACCGTATCACCCTTTAGCATGTGGAGTAATATCAACAGCAAACATCGCACTTCAGCTGAACGATCAACTCAAGATGCTTCCTGTCGTTCAACTGGAAAATACCTCATGCCGACGAACTGCACTCCACGGCAAGACAGTACTAGATGGCAGTTCTGTACAAACTTTCTCAAAGATTTAGAACATTAATTTTCTAGTTGTGTTCGTGCTCAGGGTTAAGAATCTATCTTCTTCTGAAATTGGAGTTAATCTTAGATAAAAGAGTAAGATTAAGAGACTTTTGATTCCAATGTATGTCCAAAGAAGTGGGCGAAAGGCTCTAAAGTTGTTTATATGTTTAAACTTTGTGTTAGATACCGAAAATGATTTATCTATTCAAGCTCTGGTCTATGTTTTATATTGGGATAATTTGAACTTGTAAATTGCGTTTCATGCAAGTGTAATAAATGTGTTTACAATAAAAAAAAGTTCAATGTATTGCCGGAAATCAATTTGATACAATTTTTTAAGAATATATTTGTAAATTAATTCAGATGTCTTTTGACCGGGGATGTTAATCGATAACTCGATAACGTCTTTTCGTTAACGCCTACTATGCGAATTTCCTATTGCAGGCGTTAACGAAAATACTTTATCGAATTATCGATTAACAACCCTGCTTTTGACAACCACATTACACAATCTTTATATACGGTGATTTATTAAAGTCTTTGTAAATCTGTTGATTGGATTCTATGGCACTTATGAAACGATTGCATTTTGCAGTATTTTTGCTGTGTGATATTAGCTGTGCTGTGATTTACCAATTTACCTTGTGCACATTTCCCAACCAACACCCGGAAAAATACATGCAAATACAAAATATTTTGAGTTTGAAGCAGAAACACCACATTGGATGAAAAATCATTCACCATCAGCCAAGTCAAAAGCAACGGTTTCGAACACGAACCAAATAGCACCAGAAGATTGTGTGCCTTTTTGAACACCCTCAACTCGGGTACCTATTTTCAAACCGAGCGCCAGTTTGCCTCTAATGAGCAACGAGCGCGTTTATTTGTGTGTATGAAGATGTTTGCTTTCGAAAAACCGAAATTAAAAATTTGTCATTCCCAGTTTTCTGATAGAGCGTTGCGCGTGAAGCGGACTGGCACTAGCACTTTTCCGAACAGTTTACTACCGTCGTCCGTGGCGCGGTTTGCCATTCCCGGTCGGTTACCGAATATTTCATCTCGTCTCTCAAGGTATTTCTTCTGGCATGCCACAGACGAGATCAATGGAAATATCCAATCCATTTTTTTTTGCTGTTGTTTCTCGTGTGAATTTAATATGAAATATCTACCGCTTAGTGTCCCCCGAGTTTCGCATTTTCCTTAGCTCTACCTTTCTTTTTCCTGATTGAAAAACGTCAGCGCACGAACATTAATCGTGGGAAGAAATTTATTAATGGTTTACCGTGTAGAATGGTGCTGAAGGAATGGAGGTCTCGCAAGAAAATTCCAACGAATGACACATATAAATGAAGAATGACGAAGAGTGTAACGAACTACGGTCCTTGTGGAATTGTGATTTACGTAGCTTATTTTTCTATTTATTCCAAGTCATTGTGTGAACAAGCGTTCAGAAAGGAGGATTGAAATTTGTGAAGATGTAAACTTAGGTTATAGAGGACTTCGTTTGGGAAATTCCCTTCACTGTGATTTCTCACCTTAAGCCAACTCAATCCGTTCTATTTATTGTGCGAAATGAAGGTCGTAAATGAAAAATAAACATTGTTGCCACGGTTACGAAATTGTTTTTATAGAATTAATCGAGACTATTAAATGTCGGAATGAAATTCCCGATTTTACTAATTAATTAATCACGAATGTGTCAAACGGAAACGTCGCTCCTTACGTCAAGCATCTGCTACGAATTCCGGAGCAAAAATGTTTAACCGAAGTGTGATCTAAACATATACGTATTCTTGAACAACCATCTGGGTTGTGCACAACGCTTAATACAGGAAAAAATAATCAATGTACTTATAATTTACGCCTTTGTGACCTCGTGTAGGCTAATGAAGGTTACAAAAGTGTAACAAGCAACTCACCAAAGCGGATTGAAGAGGAAAACAGTGAATTAGCTCGAAAAGAAAACTTTTTTTCGTTTACCGACTTTTCCCATCACCTATCGTGACTCGAAAGATGGAAGAGGAGGACGACAAAGTGTGCCCCTTGGAAGGGTATGTTCAGCAGCAGCAGCAGCATATTAGATCAATGTTCCAACACCAGTACCAACAACAGCAACAGCAACAAAAACAACAACAACAACAACAACAACAACATCAACAACAACACCACCATGTGGTCGTCCAAGAGCCTGATTCGGCCGAGGAACAAGTTGCCGAAGCAATCGGTGATTATGGCCTGAAACCCGACCGACTGATGGAAAACGTTCGATTTCATGGGAATTTTGCAGCAACAAGTGTGACTACAAACGCAAGCGTACAATCATTTCAATCTGTACTAACTTCGTCATCCGCGTCGACGGCGTCCTCGGTATCCTCGAAGAAAACCAAGTTCCACAGTTTTCTGCAGAGCAGCAGCGCAGCAACGACGCAGCAAAGTTTGTCCAGCCTTGGAGCTGCTTCTTCTGGTTTTCATCAAGCGCTTGCCTCCCCGTCTTTGAAGTCTCCCCACACATTTTCCGGATTGGTCGCAATTTCTTCGGCACCGTCACTTTCAACAAACCCACAGCTAGGAATTTCTTCTGGCTTCGAAAAAATGTTTAGTGAAATGGAAGCGAGCAATGAGTTGAAGCTCAAAAAAAGCCTCCAATTTAATCGCAGAATTTCAATTCTCAGTCCTGCCCATCTGAACATACGTAGTGAGCAGACTAAAGAAGAAAGAACCTCCTGTTACATAAACGCTGAAGCATTGGAGTAAGTATTACAACAAAGTAGGCTGTTGCATTTTTCTTACATCACCCAGTAGGCTTTAGAGCGGCCGCAAAATTTATGAAGGCTATGTCGTCATAGCAAAAACAGTGCGGTCCTTGTAATGGCCTGGCTGCAGGAAAATACTCTCATATTCAAGTCTAGCGCACATAAACATGAGCATGCTTTAGCTTTGGCATGTATAGTTATCATGAAAAAAAAAACATAGAATAGCATGTTGCTTTCCATGGATATTTTATCCGAAGCATCAAAACTCGTACGCTCGACGAATGCACGCCAATATTCACACAGTTTTCTCTCCATCTCTCGTGCACACATACATGCTTATGCTTGCAGGGTATCCCTGTTTTCCGGATCTCACTCACAATGAAGCCAGTCATCCTGTCTGTATTAGGTGTGCAGTGGGCTCAGGTACTACATTTGTAATTTTATTTATTTATTCATTGTTTTATTTTTTATTCACTTAATCTGAGAAAATCTAAATTCAGTTATTAAGGAACAATGACGCCTCCCTGAAATGTCCACCTTTAAGAAAACAAAAAGCCACCCGCATTAGATCCGTTTGCGTTGCGTTGTCGTAAATTTGACCGAAAAACAATAGATTTGGCTGTCGCTTTCTCGCTACGCGTCAGATCCGGATCTAATGTGGGTGGCCCTTTGTTCTTCTTATTTTTAATTTTCCCTGTAGAGGAGACAAGAGTTACAAACATCTGGAGATTTTCGTATTGAGCAAAGCTATTATATAGAAATACTAAGTAGTAATGTAATCTCACTGTGCCACACGACTTTTTAGGGCGGAAACATTTTACCATATGTTCTACTGCACACAAAATAATCGAAACGGTATTGTTACGTGAAAATCACGTGAAGTCTCTCTTTTCCCTTTTATGTCTCATTTACGTTACACAAATAGATTCTACGAGATACCACATATGTATCAATGGGAAGTGCCTCACTCATAATGGTACACAATATGGTGGAACTGCAATCTGCATGTTTACATGCCAGTTAAAATCTTGGGGTTTATTTCCGTGAGACAATTTCGTGTTGTAAGTATAATGGCTGAACATGTTTTTATAGACAAATTTTATGGTGAGAATAATTTGTAACATGTTTTTTTGTTTTAGTCTGACGACAATGAGTACCATGGATTGAAATGCGAGTTAAATGCCCTTGTATCATATGTGGCCCATATCCTTCCCGAGTCCAGTTTCGCTCGAATTAATTTCTTCTTGTGTGTTTATATTTTCCACAATAAATATACAATGGTCAAGAAATACTGTAGGATATTTTTTCATTTGAAATCAAGAATACATTTTATTTAAACCGGAATAAAAATCATTGAAAACCACCATGAATTCCATCGAAAGAATCACATAACTTCCACATGATAATCCAGTGACCATCTTGCTCACTGAAATGAGAACTTTCATATGAGGATCACGTAACACTTACGTGAAACGAGCGCGATGGAAAAAATCTATGTATGTATCTACGTAGCATTGAAGTGAAAATTGTTAAAGCAAAAGGCTGTACCGCTCTACAGGCGTGCATGAGACCAGCGAGCTTGCTACACGGCTCTGCGTTTTAAAAGACATCGCTTTGCTTAAATATTAGAAATATCACCGAAATTACTTTGGGATAGCGTTATGTTCTAGACCAGCGCTACCCAATGTGCGGAGGATCTCACGAATGATATAAGTTTAGTCCAATGTTATTCATCATTATGAATTTTAGCCCAGAATAAATGAGAAATGAACAAAATTAAGCTTGATACATGGTCATCGAACATAGAAAAAGTCTATTGAAAAGACAAGTTTTGAAAATTTGGGCAGGGCTGTTCCGTGAACAACAATATTGCCACATGCTAAGTTGGCAGTAAATAGTCAAATAGCAAATTGGCGTAAAATTCGAAATTTTATTAACTGTTCCATGTGATTTCATTGGCAAAAATCACCATTCTTACCGCCCCTCGACGGTTTATTAGAGATCAACCCAAATTTAAGTTCAGTTTACTCATAAATCACAAAAAGTGAAGGAACTCAGCGATGAGCAAATTTGCCTCATGTGATCTACTGGAACTTTACGCCGGCTCTCAACTTAGTGTTCTTTGAACACTTCCACAGTTTTTAATTAGGTTAACCGGCTTTCTAAGCCGGTCATTTGTACATTATTATAATTGTGTGCCAACGGCGCCGGTGGTGTAGTGGTAAGCGTGATTACCTCTCACCCCAGCAGGCCTGGGTTCAATCCCAGTCGGCGCCGTCGGGATGTTCTGAGGCATAACATCTCTGATCACGCCTTCCTTCGGATGGGAAGTAAAGCCGTTGGTCCCCGGTTCATGAGTTGATGGGTCGATAGGTAGGGTCCAGGTGTGGGAGAGCTGCCTTCCTGGCACGTCGGTAGCATTGGTGCTCAGCACGGAAAACAAGATCGACGGAAAAAACAAACCAAAGGAAAAAAAATAATAATTGTGTGCCAAGTTCAATCATTCAAATCTATCCAGCTTTTTATGCTGGAGCACCATCAAATTTGAATCACCCCTTTCTGACATATGACGAATATTATTGCAAAGACCAGGATGGTTATGATTGTAAAAAAAAAATCTGCGCAAGCAAAACAAATCTGATTTTCATTTTGGTTGAGTCGATTTTGGGCATAATTTAATTTTAATCATTATTCAGAAGTGCCATAATTTCTCAGATACAGAAAAGTGCAAGTAAAGTGTTACATGGATGGGGGCAACGAAAAATATGGCCGACAAAAAGTGGGCTTTCATAATTTTCCTAAAGTTCGAACCGCGCGTGATAATAGCTATGTATAATGACGAAACCCGCACTTGGTTGAAGTTGCCCAGATCCACTCAGTTTTTTTTTTATATTTTGTTAAAAATAACTGTCAAACCTACCACGAGTTATTCGGATCTCGGTAACAGTTTGAACCAGCACGTTCTGATTAGCAGCATTGCATTAACTCTGTTGCTGTTATGAGGTGGTAGTGCACCTTCTCCGTCCAGAACCAAGAGTTGTCCGAGTGTTCGCTTCTGACGGCCAATCACCTCGTCCAGCTTCATGTTGAACGACCGCAGCTGTTCGTGATTCATCGTTTGTGCTTCCCAAATCTGTCTCAACTCCAAATCGTGCTTCTCCAACTCGGGATTTTCCTTTTCGTATTATTAATTTTTCAGTTAGCGGTGCCTGTGATGTAGTGGTAAGCGTGATTACCTCTCCCCCCAGCAGGCCTGGGTTCAATCCCAGTCGGCACCGCCGGGATGTTCTGAGGCATAACATCTCTGATCACGCCTTCCTTCGTAAAACCGTTGGTCCCCGGTTCATGAGTTGATGGGTCGATAGGTAGGGTCTAGGTGTGGGAGCTGCCTCCCTGGCGTCGGTAGCATTGGTGCTCAGCACGGAAAACAAGATCGACGGAAAACAAATCAAGGAAAAAAAAAATCAGTTCGAGTTTCTTCTAGCAGTTCTGTCCTGATATTCCTGGCTCAGCTTGGCCTGATCCTGTGGCCCTTCCTCCTTGGTCTGTTGAATGGTTCATTTTTCACCTGTCACTTTTGAAAATTATTCTACAACCACCGACAAACCGACATGAATTACCATAGCAAAACCAATAAAATTTCCGACCAAAGCACACTAATGACATCTGGCTCCGGGTTCGCGGGAAATATTTAGCTAAGCCATGAGCCCGCATGCAAAAGTTATGAATTGGTTCGTGTCTGATCAATTCTGGACAAATTATTTTTTATCTAGATCAAAAAATTCTATGGTTTTGACAGTTCGGATCACTGCACATTTAAATCGACCGTTTACGATTTTCGGGCATAAGTCAGAATTAAGTGTCATGTCGGTTTGTCGGTGCTACAACTGTGACATAAACATGGTAAGCATCTAATGTCAAAGGCGAATCACCCCTCGGCGAAATTATGGCAATGGTAAAAAAAGCTATAAAGGATACGCAGGGAGATCGAAAAAATATCTTATATCTGTCTTTCTTAAGAGCTGCACATTTACCGATTGAGCTAAAGAAGGCTCTCTTATGACAAGTCATACTTCTTAAAATAATTCTTTATGAAAGAATTTTGGAGTGGGTGGAGTTACTTGAATAATATCTTTTTAATTCCCTTAAATAGCCTTAAATACTTTGGTGTTTCCATTTTGCGTTTTTAGGGATGTTTTATCATTTAATTATAGGAGTATTTTAACGTTTGTCATTGAAGTTTCCGATTATTCAAGCCATTTTGCAGATTTCAAAGACATGTTGGCGTTTGTGAAGCCATTTTTGCAACTCTCGATCATTAACATTTTTGGGTTCTCAAGGTTATTTTGGGGGTTTTGGCCGCTTTCGGCTTTTTTGGCGTCCTTGGGTCTGCTTTGAAGATCTTGTTTGGCGTTTAAAAAACGATTTAAATGTTTTCGGCCTTTTTGGAATGTTTAAGTCCATTTTGGTATTTTTTAAGAACCATGCCAGTTCAACGTATCAATAACATAGGGCAAAATAAAAGCCCAACAAACAATTCAGAGTCACAAATAAGCAAATGTATTGAATAAATTCTGTATAACAGTGTACAATGCTCATTCCTACGATTCCACACATTATAAATAACATTTTACACATTAGAACATCTTATCGATCAGAATGGATTGTACATATGTTTAGGAGCAACCGAATGTTTGGGCCAAAGGAGCAACAGGATCGAGGAGTTAACGTTTCGTAATTCCGGAATCTGAAGACTGTTTTGAATAATGGGTTTATGTAATGGGCAGCAACAACGGTAAACGGATAAATGATTTACAGGTTTTATTTATTAAATACTTTATATAACGATTGCCAACAATGCCGGCTGAGCGTATCATATGACTTTCCCTCCCTACTAACAAAATTCCAGCCTTCCCGTGACACTTTACACATGGTTTACACGTTCAATTCGCGTTCAAGTCAGTTGAATTCAACTGACTTGATCAATTGACTTGCCC